ACAATTTGTAGCTTTAGCCTGCATAACTTTGGGCTGCCATTGACTATCTGATGGTTATTACTTATGTTTGATCCTCAGTTTTTCAGGATGTTTTGTAGACTTTGAGAATTAAATGCAAATAGCTTATATTATATGATTTATTTCTACTAAAGTTAGTCAACACATCAATATTTATGTTAAGTACTGAAAAGAAAAAAGTGTTGGCAATACCTGGATGAATACTGCAGCTAGTGAAGTTTACAAATTATTTTCTCATATAAAGGAAAATTCAAAGCTTCATATACTATGACAAAAATTTTAAAAAATTATTCACATTTTTAGCAGTTCTGAATGATTAGGTAGGTATTTACATTCATATTATTAATGTGTATTTATATAGATTTTTATTTTGCATATGTAATTTCACACAACAAAATTTACATGAACAAATTACATTAAAAGTTATTTCACAATTATACTCATCAAATTAAATTAAATGTCAATAGCTTTTAAACTTAGATTTTAGTTTAACTTTTCTGTCATTCTTAACTTTACATTGAATAAAAAGAGCAAAGTTTATAGTTTTTATCTGTGAAGTAGAGGTGTACACAGTATACATAAAAAGATAGGCCAAATCTGTGTTATTAAAAGTTCATGAAGATTTCAATTAGAAAAATATACCACAAAAAGTTTTGAGTGTAGGTGAAAAATAGGCAATGATGAAAAACATCTTTCAACACATGTAGAGAGTGAATAAAGAAAGCAAAAACAGAGATAGAAAGTAAAACTAGAGCATTTAGAAAATGGAAATTAGTATGTTCACTATTTAAGATCCATGCACAGAGCAAAGTCTTCAGAAAACCTAGAGGCCAAGGTTCAAGGTTACCCACCTCAAGTAGCCTAGCAATATTGACAACATCCCAATGGCCCTGTCCTTTCCTTTACTGGTGGCCGTGGTGGTGCTCAGCTACAAATCCATCTGCTCTCTGGGCTGTGATCTTCCTCAGACCCACAGCCTGGGTCATAGGAGGGCCTTGATACTCCTGGCACAAATGGAAAGAATCTCTCCTTTCTCCTGTCTGAAGGACAGACGTGACTTTGGATTCCCCCAGGAGGAGTTTGATGGCAACCAGTTCCAGAAGGCTCAAGCCATGTCTGTCCTCCATGAGATGATCCAGCAGACCTTCAATCTCTTCAGCACAAAGGACTCATCTGCTGCTTGGGAACAGAACCTCCTAGAAAAATTTTCCGCTGAGCTTTACCAGCAACTGAATGACCTGAAAGCCTGTGTGATAGCAGAGCCTGGGATGGAAGAGACTCTCTTGATGAATGAGGACTCCATCCTGGCTGTGAAGAAATACTTCCAAAGAATCACTCTCTATCTGACGGAGAAGAAATACAGCCCTTGTGCCTGGGAGGTTGTCAGAACAGAAATCATGAGATCCCTCTCTTTTTCAACAAACTTGCAAAAAAGGTTAAGGAGGAAGGATTGAAAACTGGTTCAACATGGAAATGATCCTCATTGACGGACATGTCATCTCACACTTTCATGAGTTCTTCCATTTCAAAGACTCATGTCTCTTATAACCACCACGAGTTGAATCAAAATTTTCAAATGTTTTCAGGAGTGTAAAGAAGCATCGTGTTTGCCTGTGCAGGCACTAGTCCTTTACAGATGACCACGCTGATGTCTCTGTTCATCTGTTTATTTAAATATTTATTATTTACATATTTTTAAGATTTAAATTATTTTTATGTAATATCATGTGTACCTTTACACTGTGGTTAATGTAATAATATATGCTCTTCATGTTTAGCCAATATATTAATTTCCTTTTTCATTAAATTTTTTTACTATACAAAATGTCTTGTGTTTGTTTATTCTTTAAGATAAAATGCAAAGCCTGACTGTACGACCTGACTTAAAAATAGATGATTTAATTAAGTTACCTATCATAATGTTATTCAAGTTATAGAAAAATGTATTTTTCTATACCAAGCTGTATGTTGTCATCAGGATACAAACATGAACATAAAAACTACAGTTCCTGTTCTCTTGTATCTTTGATTTTTGTCCAGAAAGAAATCTAAAAACAATAATAATGCTGAATTAATATCAGTTATGCTAACTGCTGTAATATGAAGAAGTGAAAAAGCAATGAATTCCTCTTAGCAGAAGGTAGATTGAGACATGTCTGGAATTAAAAGCAGAGATATTCTCTGTAAACTGACTTTCAACATGTAATTGAAAAGGTACATTGCTAGTCAGATAAATGAGTTTGCAGTTTTCAAGGAATACCATATCTGGAAGCTCCTAACTGGCAATGGAAAGGCCAAAAATGAAATAGAATGGCTGTCCATGTGGTGAGCAAGTGGAGAGGGAAAAAAAGACTTAAACTGGATTCTGAGGACCTTCCACCACTAAAGCGGGGGAACTGAAGAGACACACAGAAAACAGAGGTGGAATAACTTAACAGCAGAAAGAGAAGAGGGAATGGTGATAAAAGCATATTTAGAAAATAAATGTGCTTAGAAAAAGAATCAATAGACTTACGAAAAATGTGAATTAAAACTGAGCACTACAGCAAGAAAAGAGATGGCAGTGCAGAGCTTACTGAGAGCTGGATTGATAGAATTAATCAGCAGAAGCCATACTGGGGTAGGTAGAAGAGTGAATCCGAAAAGAAAAATCAAGATAACACATATAGAAAATTGTGAGAGATCTGCCTTTGCAATGGAGGGAGGTAATAACATTGCACTCTCCTTTTTGAAAATATATATCCTTAATTTCATATATTTGATGCATTGGTAAATCATATGAATACATTAAATATTTTATATTTTTAAAGCATAAAATATAAAATTATTTACAATAGTAATTGATCATTATTTTGATTAATTCTCTGTTAAATGTCAGTAAAAACTGACACATTTCTTTCACAAAATAAAATCTGAAACTGGAAGAGATACTGTTTCTCAATACTTTAGGAATGGGGAAAGGATTCCCTATTTAATATATGGTGCTGGCAAAACTGGATTGCCATAAGCAGAAAACTGAAACTGAACCCCTTCCTTACACCTAATACAAAAATTAACTCAAGATGGATTAAACTCTTAAATGTAAAACCCAAAACCATAAAAACCTTAGAAGAAAACCTAGGCAACAGAGCTCAGGACATAGGCATGGGCAAAGATTTTATGATGAAATCACCAAAACCAACTGCAACAAAAGCTAAAATTGACAAATGACATCGAATTAAAGAGCTTCTGCACAGCACAAGAAACTATGAATCATCAGAGCGAACAGGCAGCCTACAGAATGGGAGAAAATTTTTGCAGTCTACCCATCTGACGAAGGTCTAATAGCCAGAATGTACAAAGAACTTAAACAAATTTACAAAAAAAAAAAATTCAAAAAGTTGGTAAAGGACACGAACAGACACTTCTCAAAAGAAGACTTTTATGTGGCCGATAAACATGAAAAAAGCTCCACATCACTGATCATTACAGAAATGCAAATCAAAACCACAATGAGATACCATCTCATGCCACTCAGAATGGCGATTACTAAGAATTCAGGAAATAACAGATGCTGGTGAAGCTGTGGAAAAATAGGAAAGGTTTTACACTGTTGGTAGGAATGTAAAAGGTTCGACCATTGTGGAAGACAGTCTGGGAATTCATCAAGGATCTAGAACCAGAAATACCATTTGACCCAGCAATCCCATTGCTAGTAGAAGAAAAAATGAGAAACTAGTAAACCTTCACTTACTAAATAGCTGATTTGCTAAAGCAGAGCTCATTCTATTTAAGGACTCAGCCTCTATAGGGCTGAGACAAACTAACTTCTTATGCAAAATAAAAAGTTAGAGTTAGAGTTCAGGACCACTCTGAAAGTTAGTACTTTAGTTGATAATATTCAATTATTATAAATTTATGAATTTAGAAGAAAAGATGGTCTTATTTATTCGATAAGAATTGACTTCGATAAGAACTTCTGAAAACCTTTGAAAAATGACAATGATGTAATTGATAATATTTTCTAAGTCACATATATTTATTGGAATGATACTTCTTCGAAGGGTACAAAAATTAGTTCTCATAGTATAAACAAATCTGATGTATTACAATAGTTTGTGACTCTCCAACAAGTCTATCCAACAAAATTTGATTGCTTAATATACATCTTTCTCATTGGGTTTTGTTGTGTATCACATGAGAAGCACTGATACTGAGTTCAGGAAGATACACAAAATATTCGCAAGATCAGTGTCACAAACCTAGGGCAAATAGATGACTGTGATTGGAGGACTTTCTGTCCATTTTTTGCTGGATCTTAAAGTCTTATCACAATTTGTAGCTTTAGCCTGCATAACTTCTGGCTGCCATTGACTATCTTATGGTTATTACTTATGTTTGATTCTCAGTTTTTCAGGATGTTTCATAGACTTTGAGAATTAAATGCAAATAGCTTGCATTATATGATTTATTTCTACTAAAGTTAGTCACACATCAATATTTATGTTAAGTACTGAAAAGAAAAAGTGTTGGCAATACCTGGATGAATACTGCAGCTAGTGAAGTTTACAAATTATTTTCTCATATAAAGGAAAATTTAAAGCTTCATATACTATGAGAAAAATTTTTAAAACTTATTCACATTTTTAGCAGTTTTGAATGATTAGGTAGGTAATTACATTCATAATATTAATGTATATTTATATAGATTTTTATTTTGCATATGTAATTTCACACAAAAATTTACATGAATATATTACATTAAAAGTTATTCCACAATTCTACCCATCAAACTAAGTTAAATGTCAATAGCTTTTAAACTTAGATTTTAGTTTAACTTTTCTGTCATTCTTAACTTTACATTGAATAAAAAGAGCAAAGTTTATAGTTTTTATCTGTGAAGTAGAGGTATACACAGTATACATAAATAAATATGCCAAATCTGTGTTATTAAGAGTTCATGAAGATTTCAATTAGAAAAAAATACCATAAAAATTTTGAGTGTAGGTGAAAAATAGGCAATGATGAAAAACATCTTTCAACACATGTAGAGAGTGAATAAAGAAAGCAAAAACAGAGATAGAAAGTAAAACTAGAGCCTTTAGAAAATGGAAATTAGTATGTTCACTATTTAAGACCCATGCACAGAGCAAAGTCTTCAGAAAACCTAGAGGCCAAGGTTCAAGGTTACCCACCTCACGTAGCCTAGCAATATTGACAACATCCCAATGGCCCTGTCCTTTTCTTTACTGATGGCCGTGGTGGTGCTCAGCTACAAATCCATCTGCTCTCTGGGCTGTGATCTTCCTCAGACCCACAGCCTGGGTCATAGGAGGGCCTTGATACTCCTGGCACAAATGGGAAGGATCTCTCCGTTCTCCTGTCTGAAGGACAGACATGACTTTGGATTCCCCCAGGAGGAGTTTGATGGCAACCAGTTCCAGAAGGCTCAAGCCATGTCTGTCCTCCATGAGATGATCCAGCAGACCTTCAATCTCTTCAGCACAAAGGACTCATCTGCTGCTTGGGAACAGAACCTCCTAGAAAAATTTTCCGCTGAGCTTTACCAGCAACTGAATGACCTGAAAGCCTGTGTGATAGCAGAGCCTGGGATGGAAGACACTCCCTTGATGAATGAGGACTCCATCCTGGCTGTGAAGAAATACTTCCAAAGAATCACTCTCTATCTGACGGAGAAGAAATACAGCCCTTGTGCCTGGGAGGTTGTCAGAGCAGAAATCATGAGATCCCTCTCTTTTTCAACAAACTTGCAAAAAAGATTAAGGAGGAAGGATTGAAAACTGGTTCAACATGGAAATGATCCTCATTGACGGACATGTCATCTCACACTTTCATGAGTTCTTCCATTTCAAAGACTCATTTCTCCTATAAACACCACGAGTTGAATCAAAATTTTCAAATGTTTTCAGGAGTGTAAAGAAGCATCGTGTTTGCCTGTGCAGGCACTAGTCCTTTACAGATGACCATGCTGATGTCTCTGTTCATCTGTTTATTTAAATATTTATTATTTACATATTTTTAAGATTTAAATTATTTTTATGTAATATCATGTGTACCTTTATTTTGTGGTTAATGTAACAATATATGTTCTTCTTATGTAGCTAATATATTAATTTCCTTTTTCATTAAATTTTTACTACACAAAATGTCTTGTGTTTGTTTTTTCTTTAAGATAAAATTGCCAAGCCTGACTGTACAACCTGACTTAAAAATAGATGATTTAATTTAGTTACCTATCATAATTTTATTCAAGTTTTATAAAAATATATTTTTCTATACCAGGTTATATGTCGTCATCAGGATACAAACATGAACATAAAAACTACAGTTCCTGTTCTCTTGTATCTTTGATTTTTGTCCAGAAAGAAATCTAAAAACAATAATAATGCTGAATTAATATCAGTTATACTAACTGCTGTAATATGAAGAAGTGAAAAAGCAATGAATTCCTCTTAGCAGAAGGTAGATTGAGACATGTCTGGAATTAAAAGCAGAGATATTCTCTGTAAACTGACTTTCAACATGTAATTGAAAAGGTACATTGCTAGTCAGATAAATGAGTTTGCAGTTTTCAAGGAATACCATATCTGGAAGCTCCTAACTGGCAATGGAAAGGCCAAAAATGAAATAGAATGGCTGTCCATGTGGTGAGCAAGTGGAGAGGGAAAAAAAGACTTAAACTGGATTCTGAGGACCTTCCACCACTAAAGCGGGGGAACTGAAGAGACACACAGAAAACAGAGGTGGAATAACTTAACAGCAGAAAGAGAAGAGGGAATGGTGATAAAAGCATATTTAGAAAATAAATGTGCTTAGAAAAAGAATCAATAGACTTACGAAAAATGTGAATTAAAACTGAGCACTACAGCAAGAAAAGAGATGGCAGTGCAGAGCTTACTGAGAGCTGGATTGATAGAATTAATCAGCAGAAGCCATACTGAGGTAGGTAGAAGACTGAATCCGAAAAGAAAAATCAAGATAACACATATAGAAAATTGTGAGAGATCTGCCTTTGCAATGGAGGGAAGTAATAAGGTTGCACTCTCCAAAAATGTGGATTATCTTTTATCTGCATAGTGTTTCCTTTTTGAAAATACATGTCACTAAATTTCATATATTTGATGCATTGGTAAATCATATGAATACATTAAATATTTTATATTTTTAAAGCATAAAATATAAAATTATTTACAATAGTAATTGATCATTATTTTGATTATTTCTCTGTTAAATGTCAGTAAAAACTGACACATTTCTTTCACAAAATAAAATCGGAAACTAGAAGAGATTCTCTTTCTCAATACTTTAGGAATGGGGAAAGGATTCCCTATTTAATAAATGGTGCTGAGAAAACTGGATTGCCATAAGCAGAAAACTGAAACTGAACCCCTTCCTTACACCTAATACAAAAATTAACTCAAGATGGATGAAACCTTAAATGTAAAACCCAAAACCATGAAAACCTTAGAAGAAAACCTAGGCAATAATGCTCAGGACATAGGCATGGGCAAAGATTTTATGATGAAATCACCAAAACCAACTGCAACAAAAGCTAAAATTGACAAATGGCATCGAATTGAAGAGCTTCTGCACAGCACAAGAAACTATGAATCATCAGAGCGAACAGGCAGCCTACAGAATGGGAGAAAATTTTTGCAATCTACCCATCTGATGAAGGTCTAATATCCAGAATGTACAAAGAACTTAAACAAATTTACAAAAAAACAAAACAAACAAACAAACAAAAATCAAAAAGTTGGTAAAGGACACGAACAGACACTTCTCAAAAGAAGACTTATGTAGCCAATAAACATGAAAAAAGCTGAACATCACTGATCATTACAGAAAAGCAAATCAAAACCACAATGAGATACCATCTCATGCCACTCAGAATGGCGATTACTAAAAAGTCAGGAAATAACAGATGCTGGTGAAGCTGTGGAAAAATAGGAAAGCTTTTACACTGTTGGTGGGAATGTAAATTAGTTCAACCATTGTGGAAGACAGTGTGGCAATTCATTAAAGATCTAGACGCAGAAATAACATTTGACCCAGCAATCTCATTGCTGAGTACATACCCAAAGGAATATAAATCATTCTATTACAAAAATACACGCACATCTATGTTTATTGCAGCACTGTTCACAGTAGCAAAGACACATAACCAACCCAAATGCCCTTCAATGATAGACTCGATTAAAAAAAAATGTGCTAATAGGTGACGACTTGATAGGTGCGGCAAACCACCATGGCACACGTATACCTATGTAACAAATCTGCACGTTCTGCACATGTATCCTGGAACTTCAAGCAAAATTTAAAAAAAAAAAAAAAGAAAGAAAGAAAAGAAGTTGGTCAAAATCAGGTGAAAATACAACCAAGGAATTTAAGAGAGCAGGATATGGCTGTGTATAATTGAGGAAAAGAGGAGATTAATAATGATTAAGGAAATCCCAATACAAAATTTACACATCAGGTACAAATAACAATACATTATTTTTCATTGAAATTCCATTATGCTTGCATATATTATTTTAGGCAGCCTAAAAAAACAGAATTCTGTCATGAATTCTAGAGAGGCTGAAAAATTGTCTCACCTCATTTCAAAGTCCTATATATATTCAGTCAGGAAATGGTGGCTTGTAGAAATACCTGACAGAGGAGCGGCATCTAGAGTGAAGTGCAGAATACACGTGTTTATGGTTAACTGATTCTGGCACCTGGCACATTCGTTTCCTGGCTCTCGGAATTCCAGAGTACACTCCCATATGAAGGTAGTCTCCTAAACTTAAGTAAAATATACATCTTTGCTGGTTCTGGGAGCTGACACACTTTCCCCTTTCCTCCCTGCTTTTCCGTATCACATTTTTCACTGCCATATCACGTTAGTTTCCTTCCTCTTCCTCTAGAAATTGGCACTGTGGTCTCTTCTTCACTCACCGTGAGCCTGCACTGCCTCTTCACACAGCTGTTTTCAGTTCTCTTGTGGGTTTAATCCATCACTTTCCCATTAAGAGTACAAAATCACAAATGAAAGCAGAAGTTCAGTGAAAGTTCTAGGTTTTTCAGAAGCTCTTTTATAAAATACTCTCCTTCCTTTCTTATGATGAATATTTCTGAAAGAGGCAATGTCCCTGTTACAATGACATAACAGTAGCTTAGCAAAAAAGGAAATAAAAGGCAGGTTCCATTTACTTGGAGACTGTTAAACATTTACAGGGAAAGCGATCCACCAACTGGTCAAAATGCACCAAGACAGCAGCCAAGTCTGGAGAGCAGGCTGTTAGTGAGAAGTAGGCCTCCTTGCAGGAGATGTATCTTCATAGCTAAAGAGAGGCTCTTCCCAAGAAAGAACTGACCCTGGTACTGGAATTAGGCCATTTCCCTAACTTTTGGATCTTAGAGAGAAAAAATATTCCCAGCTTCAGGCAGGACCTGTCCTCTTGGGGCAATGGACAGCTATGGCGAAAGAAAAAGGGTCAGGATGTGTCCCTTTCCTCCACCCTGCCCAGCCTCCCCGGGGCCTCCTAACTTATCCCTTCCTCTATGTATTGTACAACACTAGGAATTAGAACAGCCTCCCAATCTGGGTGTAGATTTCAAGGGTATTTGACTTTTGGTCTCTCTATCAAGGTTGTGGAACTCTTCATAGATGATATCCTGAAATATATTTTCCAAGTTGTTTGTTTTCTCCCTGTCTCTTCTAAGGATGCAAGTGATTCCTACATTTGGCCTCTTTATACAGTCCCCTGTTTCTTGGAGGTTTTGTTCATTGCTCTTCGTTTATTTTCTTTAGTTTTGTCTGACTGTCTTATTTCAGAGAGCCAGCCTTCAAGACCTGAGATTCTTCCTCAGCTTGGTCTATTCCGCTGTTAATACTTGTGATTGCATTGTGAACTCTTGTAATGTGTTTTTTAGATCTATTAGGTCCATTAGGTTGTTTTTCATACTGGCTATTTTGTCTGTCACCTCCTGTATCCTTTGACTCTGATTCTTAGTTTCCTTGGTTTAGGTTTTACTGTTTTCAGGAATCTCAATGAAGTTCCTTTCTATCCATATTCTGAGTTACATTTCTGTCATTGTAGCTAACTTATTTTGGTTAAGAACCCTTGTTGGAGAACTAGTGTAATTATTTGGAGGACATAAGAAACTCCGTCCATTTGAGTTACTGTAGTTCTTGCATTGGTTCTTTCTCATCTCTGCATATGGGAGTGTAGCTTGAGTTTATTCAATAAATAGACTTCTTTTCTGGATGTTTTCACAGGGCTGCAGCTTTGTGCAGGGTCTTTATTTGTAGCTGACTTGTCTTTGGTTTAATGAGGGTATGTTAGTGAGATTTCTTAGTGTTGAAGCTTTGGGCATGATCTAGTAGGTGACCCTTAGGTGTGGTGGTCAGTTGTCAGGCTCTTGCTCAGTCATGTGGCTTCCCTATATTTCCTCATGGTTGCAGCTGTGCTGCTGAATGCTATGAAATTGTGGGCTCCTCTCCCACTTGAGTGCTGACTGTAGCTTGTATCTTGGCACTCCCGGGCTGCCCACAACAGCTCTGGTATTATGTCAGGGCTAATGTTTACTCCCCAGCTTGGAGGCATCGAAGGAAAGGACCTTAGTAGTAGTTGTAACTGAGGGTCTTTTGCTTGTCTCCTGGGTGCTCCACCCCAGAGATGCAGGCCAGCAATCACTCAGTGCAATCTGCCTGGAATGGGGGTGTCTGTGCTGTGGGCCCAAGCCAGGGGTTCCCTGCCTGGTGATGTGAGGGGTGGGTGGTTGACCAATGGGAGACAGACTGGCCTCCTCTCTTGGGTTGACTGCAGCTTGTTGGAGGTATGGATAAGGCACTTGGGGTCTTTGCTGCGTCATTAGTCCCAAGGTAGCTGGGGTGGCACCACTGCAGAGGCAATGGTAGACAGGCT